TACTCAGCCATAAAAATTGAGAAATTAGAGACATTTATAGCTAAATGGATGCACATTGAGGTGATACTCTTAAGTGAAATAAATAGGATACACATGTGTAAATACCAAATAGTTTCTGTGGTGTGAGAAACTGAAAGTGTAAATAAGGACTAAAAGGTATAATAGATAATGTGAAATAGGAAGAGAAGGGGCAAGGGTGAAGGGGAATTTGGAAGGGTAGGGGAAAGGACAGAAGGGAATCAAATTAATATGAGAAAATGGAAAAATGGAAACAAAGTCTTTGTAAATAGGGAGGAATGGAGGGGTTGAAAGGAGGGCAGGGCAAGGGTGAAAAATAACAACCAAGAGAGATAATGTAAAGGTGCAAATTTCCAATGATGAATGTCATTAAATTGTATACGTAAAATGTACCAATGATTAGAATGAATAATTGATAATGCGAAATAGGAAGAAAAGGTCCAAAGGGGTAGGGGTATTGGGAGGGGCAGGGGAAAGGAAAGAAGGGAAAGGAAAAATGATGAGAAATGGAAAAAAATGGAAACAAAGTCTTTATAAATAGGGAAGGCTGGGCTAGGAATGGGGAAAAAATAAGAACCAAGATGCATCATGTAAAGGTACAAGTTTCCAGTGAGAAATGTAAATGTGTTGTATACCTAAAATGTACCAATAAAAGAATTTAAGCAAAAAAAACCCCCAAAAAATAAGTGAACAGTAACTCAGGATTTGGTAGCAGAGAAGTGGGGTCCTTGCTGTGACATTATCTGGCCACGTGGTTCAAGAGCCTTTGGAACTGGCTTATGAGATGTGTTTGGGAAGGTTTGGAGATGCTGGCTGAAAAAGTATAGCTGGAACACCTCAGGCTGTACTGTATGGGAGATTCTGGTCAGTGCTCAGAAGTCCAGCAAGCCAGTAAAGACCAGGCTCAGGAAGTTTCTGCTGAGATGGACTGCATTGTCTGTTAGACTCCAGATGATGTGCGATATGCCTTGGCAAAAAGTTTGTCTGCATTTTGCTCCTGGCTAGAGTCTTTGCCTGAGACTGAGACTGAGATTAAGGCCAGCAGACTAAACTGGCAGAAGAAATTTCAAGGCAGTCTAATGTTGAGGCAGTGGCATGGCTACTGTTGCGTGCTTTTAACCAGATTTATGTTGAGAATCAAGAACAAAGAGTCCAGCAGAATGATTTAAAACATTGTAAATTTGGCCAGAAAGGAAGCTCCAGTAAAGTTGCAGCCTGAAAAGGTAGAACAGGAGATCTTGATTGCTGAGAAGGAACAGAATAGAAAAGATGGCCTGAGGGTATCACAAGAAGCAGCAGGACGCCACCCTTTGCAGCCTCAAAATTAAAAAAATGAAAGACTGCTTTGAGAAAAGAGCCCCAGAGCACCATGTTCCAGAATGGTGGCAACCTAGGGAAGTTGTTCCTTGGGATTTGGTTCATAGGCTCTGAACTCCTACAGCCAAGAGAGAAGGAAGCCTAGCTACTGCTCCAAGTGGCAGCAGACCTCGGCATCATCCATGTGGGTGCTGGTCTTAGGTGCATGCAGAATGCAAGAGTTGTGGGGTCAGGAAGGCTTCCACCCAGATTTCAGAAGAAGCCTGGAAGGCCTAGACAGTGTACCCCTGAGAGGGCAGTGTGTGAAGTTGTGAACCCAGGGGTGCAGTTGAGACCTCAGAAGTTTGAAGAAGCCAGAAGCCAATGGATCATGTGAGGAAAACTGTAATGGAGTAGAGCCAGCCCCAGAGAGAAGTCATGGGAGCTACAACCACCTGCAGTGCCATACCGGTGGAGCCACGTGGGAGAACTACTTGGCTGAACCCTTTGGAGATTGCTAGAGATGCTGGAAGTGGAACTGTAGGTCTTAATGTTTGCCCTCCTGGATTGTGAACTTGCTTTGTTCCCATTCCTTTATCCTCCTGTTTGTAACTTTTGGAATGGAAATGTCTTGTGGCATTAAATGTTGGAAGTGTTTGACTTTCTTTTCATTTGTACAAGGGCTTGCAGCTAAGAATTTGTTTTAAATCTCAGAGGAGACTTTGGACTTGGACTTTTCAGCAATGCTGAAAACGTTAGAACTTTGGCAGTTCTTAGAGGCAGACTGAATCCCTTTTGCATAAAGGAATGTACATAAGTCTTTAAGGGACCAGCAGTGGAATGTTATAGTTTGGGTCTAGATGTCCCCCCAAAAGCCTCATGCACTCATAGGTGACTTTTTCAAAGGTGGCCGAATCTAGAATGTGTGATGCTGGGATTAAGGGTGTGTGATTACTAAAGCAGTACAGTGATTGGTGTGGCCCTGCCCTAATCCGGGTAGTCTGGATAAGATAAAAAGGACAGAAAGACACTGTTAAGGTCCTCTTGTTGCTTTGCTACTGTCTGACCACTTTGAACTGTTGCCCCTCTGCCACCCTGCCTTGGAGCCAGCCAGTTACAGACTGAAGCCCCTAGGAACTATAAGCTAAATCAACCTTTCCCCCTTTAACTTCGGGTATCAGGTATTTTGTCTCAGCAACAAGAGAAAAGTAACAAAGACATCCATAGATTCAAATTCACTGATTATAAATGCATTCATATGTATTTTTTATGTGTGTTTGTAGCTCTATGTGCCTTTATCACAGGTAGCATTGTATTGCCTTCTCTGTAGTCAAGATTTTCATCTGAGACATGCATGGTGACATATTCCTGTGGTCCTAGCTACTCAGAAGACTGAGACAAGAGGAACACTTGAGGCCAGCAATATAGTGAGACCACCTCAAAAAAAAAGACACTCAAATGTAACAAAATCCCCTTTGTAGCTATCCCATACCTTTCCCCATACCTGAGCCATCTAATATTTTACATCTTACATTTTTTTCATGAATATGTCAGAATCAAATTTTATGTATTCTGTTGACATTATCTTGTTGTTGTTGTTGTTGTTGTTGTTGATGATGATGTTATGGGTTTTTTGTTTGTTTGCTTGGTTGGTTATTTTTTGGTTTTTTTGAGACAAGGTCTCACTATGCAGTTCAGGGTGCCCTTGAATTCACTGACCTCAAACTCAAAGTGATCCTCCTGCCTTAGCCTTTTGATTGGGATCACGGGCATGTACCACCTCCCTTAGCTTCACGTTGGCTTTTTTAGTTAGCATTATCTTGTAGTTCATTCAGATTATTTCATCTATCAATAATGGATTCCTTACTCCTGAATACTATTCCATAGTACAGATTTACTGTGATCTGACCATTTACCACTGAAAGACATTTGAGTATTTTCCATTTTGGGGATATTATGAATAAAGTTAATAAAGACATTTGTTTCCCACATCTTTTAGTGAAAATTTTCAGATATCACTTTATGCTACCAAATAGTTTTGGTTCTATATTAAAATATTTTCACCATAAACTAGAATTAGATATGAAGAAATGTTTTTATTTTTTGTTTTGTTAGTTTTTGGGTTGTTAGTCTTCTTGCTTATATTTCCATTATATGACTTTTTCATAGATACGGAAAACTGGGACTTAGCAAATTATTAGTCAGTCATTGAGCAACTGGGGTGTTCTGGTCCAAAGCTTAGTATTCTTTTCAACAGTGACTACCACATTTAAGAATACAAAAACAATTTAGAGTGTTTTTTTTTTAGGAGGAAAAGTTGTGATTGATGGAGGTTGAGTAAAGTATGTATGTGAAACATCTGTGTGAATATCCTTTGTTTAGGAAGCCGGGGAACCAGAGGCTCTCAAATTGATAGTCACAGTAGTAGTGGCAACTATCATGACAGCTGGGAGACTCGAAATAGCTACCCTGAGAGAGACAGATATCCAGAAAGAGACAGCAGAGATCAAACAAGGGACTCTTCCTTCGAGAGAAGACATGGGGAGAGAGACCGACGTGACAACAGAGAAAGAGGTTTGTCAAATGGAATTTAAGCCATTGGGGGAATTGTACTTTAAATGGTTACCAATTTATTTTTTAATATTAAAATATTAAATAAATAAATATTAAAAAAGATAATTTTAATATCTTTTAAGACTTATGCTTGATGGCACATTGGAAATGGTATTCATATAATCTTCCTTGTTCAGTTGGGGTAGAAGGAATTATGGAACTAGCTAGCTACCAGTACCTAAAACAGCAGAATACAAAAGCTAAGTTGCCCTACTATGTGTCTCTCATCTTAACCAAACAGCAAACAACTCTGTAAAGAATATGGGTGATTGAGCGCCATCCTAGTCTGTTCTGATTCTAGAAATACCTAAACCTATTACCAGTAGAGACATAAGGACTTCCACAGAGCCTGGGAAAAATGGTGATAGGGCTGGAGATTGTTCATAGAAACATTTTATTCATATTCTGTTCTGACAGTATGTATTTGCTTTAGATAATTTTATGTTTTTGTATGTCTTAAGCTAAAAAGTTTTCTGTTAATCTATTAGATGATCTCTTAGAACAGTTTTGAAGCAAGATTACTAAGAGACACTTAATGGGTTATAATTACTTTCTTTCCAAGTTTTTACTGTCTGTACGTATTAAGGCCATAAACATTTAAAATCTTAAGGTCAAAGCCAGAGATTTAGCTCAGTGGTTCCAGCGCCTGCCTCGCAAGTGCAAGGACCTGAATTCAATCCCCAGTACCAGAAAATAAATAAATTAATAAATTAATTAATTAAATTAAGGTCTCACTAACCTGGCCTGATTACTAAAGTAAGATTTACTATAATGCTGAGATTAATATGAAATTTAATGGACCAGATAATTGAATATTTGTGCTTTACTGTGGCTGAATCAGATATAATAAAGTATCTTGCTATGGGTAGAAATGGGAGAAGAACAAAGTCTGTATGTAAGACACCATCTATGCTTGGGAGCTAGATAGATTCAGAGGGAGAAAAGAGTTGATTGGGTGAAAGGTAAACCTAATATATTTGAATTAAAAGATGTGCAGTATTTCCTTAGTTATAGATAGGGCTGTGGCTTATATATTTCTTGTTTCTAAAACTATTTCTCAGCATTTTGACAAGCTTTCTTTAATATTATGTTCTAGTACTTTTTTCTATTTTCATATGCTTCCTCAGGTTTATGCCTGAATTCAGCAGTAATATTTGGTTTAAATCTTGTGTTTAGCTCAGGCACACATACTAAACTTCTGCTAGGTGCCAAGAACTTTAATAGTTGCTTTACATATATCTTTGACTTGTCTTTACATTATCTCTGTGAGTGTAGATATGATAAAATTATCCATGTTTTGCAATTTAAGAAAGGAGATCTAAGAGAGGTAACTTTTTAATATTACAGAGAAGTAAGTTCTAAAACTGTAATTCACATTTCGGTCTTCTGACTATAAATCTAATTTCTATTTTAATATAGCTACTTCAATAATTATCAGTGTTACAATTAAAATATAAACATTTTTAGGTTAATGATATAGTCTACAAATATGTATTGAGTACCCATGCCAGGCACTTCGTTAAGCACTTGGAATACAGTATTTCTTGTCCTTACAGAACTTAATGAAGTGGGGAGACAAGCCCCTTCCTTCAAAAAAGAAAGGTTTATGAAGCTAGCAAGGAAACAAACAAGGGATCCAAATAAAGTAATGAGAGAAGTACCTACATTACAGTGTTTATGAAAAAAATTGAGGAAATGACATTTCTGCAGAAACATAAATGTAGGAGAAGCAGCTAACTTTGCAAAGATTTAAGTGTAGATTCTTTGGAGAGGAAAGAGTAGTTGCAAATTCCCAGAGATGGGAACTAGCCCTACCTGTCTTGGAAATGAAAGATATTAATGTGGCCAGAATATGATGAGCATTCAGGAGGTTGATAAAGGTTGAGGGTAAAGATGTGCCCAGTCGAATACCTTATTCTGTGCTCGAAGATTTAAACTTTCCTTTAAATCTGACCTTCACAGATTAATTGTGATAGATAATCAATTGTGACAATTGCTACTACTTTATGGAGTTCTATGAGAAAATAAAGGAGCAAACACAATTCTGAGGGATTTGAAGAAAGCTGTTTTAACTAAAGAAACAATATCTTCAGTAGGGCCTAAAGAATACATACATTTGCTAGAGGAAATGGTAAAAGAAGCATTTTGCAGGGAGAGGTGTAGCATAAGTACGTACACATGATTGAAAGAAACACATGCTTTAGCATAAAGAATTGTATTTTGAGGTTGGAGTAGTATGCTGTAATTGGTGGGGATGGAAAGATGCTGGGGGAAAAGGACTGATGAGAGACTAGGCTAGTTTGTAAATTACCTAATTTAAGGTAAAAATTTTGAATTTAATTGCTTTTCACTGCCTACAAATAACTGTGTTTAAGGAGATGTAAAAAATAGTTGTTATTAGAAACATTAAGAAGATAAAGATACCAACCAATTAGATTGTTGTTGACATAGTCATCTGAAAAGAGCTGACTGACTCTAAATTAATGTTTAGAGATAGGAATAGGAAAAGAAAGAAATATTCTGGAAGTAAAAGTAATGGTATTTGAGAATAGTGGCATAGCCAGTTTTTGTGAAGAGGTATGTCATTCATTATGATAAGAAAATATATGAAGAGAGGCACATCTTTGAAGAGCAGATTTTGAGGGAAATATAAGGAACACAGTTTAGATATGTTGAACACATTCTTATCCTTTCCATTGGATTGTTCCATTTTCCTTTGAAATAAGGACCATTGTTAATTTGTTTGGGAAATTAGAGGTGTTAACTGTGTTTTATTCAGACACTCCAGGAAAGTGTCCGAGTAAAGTACAGATGTCTATTCACCAGCAGTCTATTCACCAGCACACCTGTATTCAGAAATTTTAAGTATGAATTATAGCAAATTTCGGTATTGAATTTGTTTCTTGTTATTTTGTAATTGTGATTTTTTTTTTTTGGTACTGAGGATCAAACTTGGGACCTTGTGCTTGCAAGGCAAGCTGCAGAACCACTGAGCTAAATCCCTGGCCCTGTAATTGTGATTCCCAAACCAAGAATTCAGACAGCACTCTGGGAAAACACAGTGTGATACAGAAGAACCATTTTAAATTTAAGTTGGTTTTAGCAAAGTAAAAAGGTTTAAGAAAAATAGACTTCTATTAGTCCGGATGTCCTAATGCATCTACTATCTTGGTAACTCTGACAAATAACCAAAGTCACTTGTGGACTATAATTTCTGTTTTTCAAAAGAAAGGGAGAGAAAAGATTGAATAGGGTTTTATTTTATTTTAGCTTTAAAATTCCACGAACTTTAAAACTGACAGATATGGGATCTATAACCTTTAAATAGTAAATATAGATGTCTTTTTTGTCAGTGATGAGGAACCGAAGTTCAAGTTGCTATGTTGAACCTTTCATGAGAAATATTCCAAAATTACCCTGCTTGATAAATGGAACATTTGTCAACTTATTTGACATAGTATAGTTTGGTCTTTATCCGTGAATCAGTAGATGTAGTATGAAAATAGAAACATCACAGTAGCCTAGATCATACCACAGTAGTTGCTTTCAAAAATAGCTCTCTTTGAAGAAGTTCATGCTATCACCTTATACACTTTTTGATCCCAGACTAATTTCCGGTTCAACTGGGCATTTGGATAGCATATATTCATTTTCTGTGTGTTTATGTGATTCATATGTAGATTAGAAAAATATATATATATATAATGCAATAGGATTATCAGTTAATTTTTTAGAGAACAGCTCTTCACCTGAGTAATCATTTAAAACTTTTATTAGTTACTAATTATAACTACATATCACTAATATGAAACACTTTTTACATTTGATTGTTCCAAGATTGTTAGACATCAGTACCCTTAATTCTAGTTCAGTTTTGTTCTACTATATTTTTCTCACATAATAGTTGCACTTTGATGTGTATATATTTTGGCCTGAAATTAGAGGTGTGACTTACGAGGGAAATTTTTTTTTTCCTTCAGCTCCTATGTTCTACACCTCCTGCTGCCCCTATCTTTTGCCACCAGTGTTCTCAGGTCCTGCTGGGGGGACAGAGAAGATCAGAGGTGAAGGGTAGAGATGGCAGAAAGTGGGGTTGGAGCAGTGGGCTGGAGGTAGGGTAAGGAGCATGCAGAGAAAGCTCAAAGGTGGACCAGTGGGAGGGGGGAGGAGGTTGTTGGGGAGTAGAAAATGGTAGTTAGTGGGCAAATGGAAATTATATTTAAGAAAATATTTTTAAAAGGTCCAGAGGTGATTATTATTTAGATGATTAAAAGTAAATATATAATACCTGATTTGTACTTTGTTGCCAATGTGACCCTATACACAGATAAAATTTAGATTTCCCATGCTCTCTTACCTATAGGTTACATCTCAAATTAATCACTGACAAAACTTGATTTTCATTGTAGATCAAAGACCAAGCTCACCAATTCGACATCAGGGGAGGAATGACGAGCTTGAGCGTGATGAAAGAAGAGAGGAACGAAGAGTAGACAGAGTGGATGATAGAAGAGATGAAAGAGCTAGAGAAAGAGATAGAGAACGAGAACGAGACAGAGAACGGGAGAGAGAGAGGGAACGGGATCGAGAAAGAGAAAGAGAAAAAGAAAGAGAACTAGAAAGAGAGCGTGCCAGAGAAAGGGAGAGAGAAAGAGAAAGAGAAAAAGAGAGAGACCGTGAAAGGGAGAGAGATCGTGACCATGATCGAGAAAGGGAAAGAGAGAGAGAGCGAGACAGGGAAAAAGAACGAGAGCGAGAAAGAGAAGAAAGGGAGAGGGAGAGAGAACGAGAACGGGAAAGAGAGAGAGAACGGGAAAGAGAGAGAGCAAGAGAAAGGGATAAAGAACGAGAACGTCAGCGGGATTGGGAAGAAAAGGACAAGGGGCGAGATGACCGCAGAGAAAAGCGAGAAGATATCCGAGAAGATCGAAACCCAAGAGATGGACATGATGAAAGAAAATCAAAGTAAGAATGAGTATGAATGAAGTTTTTAAAGGTACATATCAATAAAGAATTCAGAAGTTTCATTTAATGTTTTTTAGTTTGCTCTTTAATTTCCTGTTAAATCTTTTTCTTCTCTGCATGTTCCTTCCTGTACTTCACATTTTTAATTTTATATTTACATATAAATATATTTTTGGGCTGTAGTCTTTAAATGTCTGGAAAAATAATTTTTAAATTTAATTTTTGAGTTCAGGGACTATTAGTCTGTTTTCTATTGCCATAACAAAATACCTGAGACTGGCATTTTATAAAGAAAGAGGTTTATTTAGCTCATAATTTTGGAGGCTGAGAGTGCATGAGCAGATAGACCCCCCCCCCCCAATCTGTTCAGCCTCTGTTAGGGGCCTTTCTGGCTCTGGCATAACATGATGAATAAGCAGAACAGGAACTGGTGGTATGTAGATCGTCCAAGTGTGTGGGATGATCCAGCTTTAAAATAACCAACTAAACTAACTCAGGCTGTGAGACCAACATGAATTCATTCTGATGGCCATGTTCTCAATGACCTGATCAACTTGTAGTAGGCCCCTTCTCTTAGCTTCCACCACTTCAACACTGCCACATTGAGGATCAAGCCTCCAGGTCATCAACCTTCCTTTGGGGGACAGACCACAACCAACCCAGAGCATAATCTTTCTTGTTTATTCTTGCTTTTTGATGGCATATGGGTTTTTTTGACTGCGGCAGACTTCGTCTTAGCAGGAGTCCAACATACAAGTGATAGTGAACTTGTGTCCTAGCACATCCTCTACTAGTTAATGATGTTGACTAGTAACCAAAAGATAGCCCGTGCCATTCCTGAATTTTATATGCTTGTATGCATGGAGTCACTACCTCCAGGCCATAAGAAGCATTCAGTGTTTTCATGGCTAGAAGATGACAGATCTCTCTCCCTCTCTCCCTCTCTCCCTCTCTCCCTCTCTCCCTCTCTCCCTCTCTC